AACTATGTCAATTCATGATTAAAATTCATATATCTTTGATATGTTACCAATAAACTATAGCTTTACCCATTTTTAAAAATGTTATTGTGATGGATATCTGTTAGGATGAAAATATAGGATATATTTTATTTAATGGTTATTGATAGCTTCAAAATATTTAGACTTAGAGTAAGTTGATCTCCATTTGTATTTTTGCCCAATGCCCTGAAAGTTTTTGGAGATGGTCCTGGAAGGGGCGTTTCCACCCCTGTAATGTCTCCAAATCCTAAACCTTAGTACTGGAGGGGAATCTCAGAGAACCCTCTCTTGGGCAGAACCCCTTCTTGTGCAGATGGGAACCATGATGATTAGTTGTCACTTGATGCCAAACTCTAAGGACACTTGTGGAGGACCAGGGATCAAGCTCCCTGAAGCAGCCAGAGCGGTGTGTTCCTTGAGCCCACTGAAGAACTCCTAGGTCCTCTCTTGCAATAGGCTGGCGAGTCTTAGACAGAAGGCATGGGCCAAGTAGCTGATTGTGTAAGGTCAGCTGGTTCTGATAGCTCACATTGGTGGCAGGCTGCTACCAGGACCCCTCTCCAGTTGCTGATCCTCTAATCTATGTAGTAACTGCTTCTCTTCTTAATTAGTGAACATTATCTTTCCTGCTACCTTATTAGTCAAAATGTACTTAAACATTTTTACTTAAATCAGCCACTGTCAGAGTGAGAACACCATGCTGGGTCATATTCCAGTGACTATTTGGCCCCAGGATCTAGGCAGGCTTGACCTCATACCTGAACAAAATGGGCTTCTGTGAACACTAGAGATAAGAAGACTTGGAGCTAGACGACTGAAGATGTCTGCCACAATATGTATCACTGCCCTAATTCTCATGCTACAGATAAGGAAACTTGGACTAAAGCAATTTGTCTGGCAGAATCAAGATTTAAATCCAGTTATGATTTCCAACTTTCCGGTGATACCACTTCTAAAAAAATAAAGTAGTAGGGCCAGGGATTTAGCTCAGTGGTTCCACCGCCTGCCTCGCAAACGCAAGGACCTGAGTTCAATCCCCAGTACCAAAAAAATAAAATAAAATAAAAAAGAAAGTAGAGTCTAATAGTAATAACAAAGTTAAGTAAAGATCTTACCTGGGCTGGCCATGGTGGCACATGCCTGTAATCCCAGCATTCAGGGGGGCTAAAACAGGAAGATCCCACCAAGTTCGAGGCCAGCATGGGCTACATAGTGAGTTCAAGGCCAGCCTGAACTACATAGCAAGACCCTAACTCAAAAAAAAAAAAAAACAAAGCAAAGAAAGTAGGGAGCCCTCGGTTCCTGCTCCCGTTCTGGCGTCAGTGAGAGCTGTGACATTGTGGAGAATTTCAATTTAAACTTGGTCAATAAGATCACATGATTTATCGCAAGTTTCCTATTCAAAAAAAAAAAAAAAAAAGAAAGAAAAAATCTTATCTGAACAAATGGCGATAAAACAATCTTATAATATGTGTGATACAGCTGTCTCCAGGCCTTGGGTTTTATATCTCATTCTTCAGTCTCAGAAACAAGGATCCTTGGAGAAATGGCTCTTAGGCTGGGACGGGGGAAATACAAGATGAACCTGGCACATCGTATGATGCTAGAAAGTAAGAAGTACTCAAAAACAGAAAGCTGCGAACGTGCCAAGGACATAGAATCCAACCTGTCCAGTCTTTCCACAGCCAAAACTGAAAGTGTGTGAAGAACAAAAAAAATAAAATAATATTGGGCTGTAAGCCACAGAATAAAATAAATACATATGAACCTGTATGGCTAGAAGTGATTGAACAAATAAATACAGAAAAAGACAAATTTTTCTTGCCAAAGAATTCCAAGTATGTGTACATGACCCTCATAGGAGATGAAGCTCAATTATTTTCTTCTCCTCTCCCCTCTGCCCCCAGGTTGGGCTACCCTTTGTGACTTACTTACAAAGATTAGAGTAGGGAAAAAAGAAAATAGTGGCTTTACCAGGGAGAAACTTTGCAAATACTTCTCTAAGTACATTGATTAAATGTTATCAACCTCTTAATTCCAGTGATTTAAAACATTAACATGAGGGGGAAATGGATAAGGGAACTCTTGATACTATCTTTGTACCATTTTTGTAAATTTAAAATTATTCCTGTATTTAAAATTAAATTATTCCTTAATTAAAAGGAAATACGTGCTAGATAATTGTTGAAACTGGATGTCAACTGTAAAGTGTTCATTATCCTATTCACTCTGCTTTCAGACATTTTTTCAATTTAAAATTCTTTAAAATGTTTTTAAAAGTAAATTAATAAAATGAAATGAGTCTTGTGCTTTGCTTCAGGATATTAAGCAAATAGAGAGCGACTAAGTTTCTTGCGCTCCCCACTGGGACAGTAATGAATACAGGCACTCTTTGTTCTCAAAGCTAAACAAGCAATGGGTGCTTCCCGTCACATTCTGCAGCCTTGGGACTTGAGGTGTAATCCATGAACCCATAATGTTGGTATCATCTGAGAGTGTGTTAGAAATGCAGAGTGTAGGGCTGAACTCCAGACCTACTGAACTGGAATCTCCAGGGAGTGGAATACACATTAGAGTGTAAGAAGCACTGTTTATAATCATGTGATGTTTTTTCTGCATTTTTGAGCAAATAACATCTAGAAATACATCCCAGTGGAGTCAGTCAAGATGTTCATATGATAAGTTTACTTTAGCTAGAGTACCATAAACTGCTCCCTTTTGCCTGTCTCTTAGTAAAACGTGGTATTTGGTCAAAATAATGGAATTCAATTATGATAACACATGATTATTATACCCTTTCACTTGGGCCACTAAGATTCCAGGGACAAAAGAAAGTAGTAAATGTTCCTACATGGGTTGTACCAAAGAGACAAGCCTAGTGGTTTGGAGGCCAGACAAGAAATAAGTTTTAAGAACGTTCTCTGATGATTGACAGAGGGATTCTGGACCCGGGACTGGGCCTTCCTTTTGACTGCTTCCAACAGAGAAAGCATACAGAAGCGATCTACCTCAGCATCGCCTTCAGTTTTTCATATCATGCCACCCTGGAAAGACATGAATTTAGTGAGCACAACTTTGGTTAGAGACATTGCTAGCCATTGCTAGGTGGGTACTACAGGAAGCAGTAGGAAGAAATAATGTATCTGGCCATAAGGTAGAAAATTAGCCATGATGGTTCGTCTGCCTGAAGGTTCATCCCAGAGACTGGACATCCACTGGGACCTGGAGTTTCTTTTTAGAACAAGGAGACAAGAACATGTACAGATGAGGAAAAACAGAAAGTGAAGAGCCCACATGAAGAATGCTTTTAAAAGCATGTAAAGGATGTGAATAAGACTTGGAAATTTAATTGGACTCAGTGGATCCATGACTGGTCGTGTAGATGGGAAAAGGAAAACAAGACAGAAAATCCAAATAAAGAATCTGATGAGTTAATACGGAAATAGATGGTGGAGAAATGGAGGCCATAAATACAGGCGATTATTTCAGCTTGGGATTATATAAGGGAGGGATCTGGAGCAGTATATTAAATGTTAGCAGAAACAAAGGGAGGTTCTGTCTATTTAGAATAAGAAGGACTGGAATATGTTTGGTTAGCCAGTGGGAAGGGAAAAATATGTTTGATCAGATAATGGAGAGGAAAGATGAAAAGTTAGTGAAAGGACCAAGATTGTAGAAAAGGGAAATGTGGGAGAACAAATAAAAGGGCTGCAGACAAAGCACACTGATTGGTAGTTACCCTTGGAGAGGAGTCAGGACTCTTCTCCCCCCCCCCGCCCCCCGGGGGGAAAGGGCAAGGAGAAGATGACTGGAGATTCAGTGTCAGATAAAATGGGAGGACGGCACCTAAGCGTGAGCAAATCCAGAGGTGTGGTCAGGATGACAAGAAAGTTCTGAGTTTGGAAAGCCATGGCAGGGATGTGACCAGAGGAAACAAAGCCGAGGTGACTGTCATTTGTAGTGTGGACGCACTTTTGCAGATCGGAAGAAGGCTAACATATGGGGTGCCTGTCAACAGGTGTCAGGCTGCAGTCTCCGGGGCAGATGGGAGCGTGTGATCGCCCGGCAGGAGCCCCACCCCTGTGCAGGGATGGCGGGATCATCTAGAGAGAGCTGCTCTAGTCTGAGTGAGGAGTCCATCAGGCCCTGTGGCCTTCTTTAGCCATGTTACCACCACCGGCTGAGAATCAGTGGAACAATAATCAGCTTTATGTGAGGCAGGAGTATCAGAGGGTCAAGAAAGTGAAGGCTCCCTGACTCACTGACAACATCATTAGAGTGGCTGGCAATAAGTAGTCCACTGGTCTGCAGTAACAGACATGTTCTCCATCAGCCCTGTTCACATGGGGCAGTTGACCAACTGAATCATAGTAGAAAGCGCTGGCTTAGAGTAAGCCAGCAGGAGATTCACGGACTGGAAAGAAATTGAAGCAAAATTCAGAAAGCAAGATGAGACTTTGTTGGAGAGATTGAGCATAAACACAACTAATTAATTAGAGTAGTACCATGTTACGAAGAAGCCCAAATTGTGACAGTGCCTCTGAAGAACCAAAGAAAAGACGTGGAAGTGAGGACCTTGAGGTACTGGGAAGTCAGAACATGGGCAGGGGTGTGTGTGTGTGTGTGTGTGTGTGTGGCCCATGGGGATGGTGGGAGTCGGTGGGGATTCTCATCTCATACTAACAGCCTCAAGGAGAAGTGAGTGAATCCCAGAGAACATGAGATGAAAAGCACAGGAGGGCAAGAACAGGATATGAGGATGGCTGACATTTCACAAGACAGATAACCGATTTATTTTGTTTTGTAAGATACTAGTCATTTTCTGGAAGATGCAGCATAGACCAAGAAGAATGTAGATACTTCCCACTGGCCCTGGTTCTTGGGGAAGGACAGCAGGGAAATTAGAATTTGTTTCGTTTTGGCAAAAGATGGTGGTGGTTAAACTTCTGTTTTTGTTCTTGATTTTTTTTTTCTTTTTACAGATCTGCTTTACGTTTGGAAATGGACTTCACTTAGAGGTACGGAACCAAGGAGATTATTTCCATCTTTGGGACCTAGAGGCTTAATCTCATGGTGGACAGATTGACTACACCATTCCCATTCACACGGCTGCAGAAGAGCGGGTATCCCAGAATGCAGCATTTGACAGGAAGAAGACCTTTGCCTGCGCGTGCCCACCTGTGCACCTGTGCAGTCATAAAATATCATAAAACGTGTTCATGAAACTGTTAACAGTGGCTGCCTTGTGAAAAATAAGTGAAGAAATAGAAGTTTTGCATTTTGACATCATAAGTTTTACTGCTATCATTTGTAATGTTTTGTTATATAATGTATGTTTTTAAGTTGAGAAAAAATATTAAATGTAAACAAAGAAAAAACAGTGACCTAATGATAACCACCACATATACTTTAAAATTTAAAAATCTGTATTTAGGTACAGCAACAACATGAGTAAAATAAGATAAACCTAGTACAATAATCATTTCTTATCTTATGGAAAGATCATCTGTATTGAAATTTTCTTTGGATAAAATATGTACTTACCTATAAAGCCCAACTCAAAAGTTACAGAATAGTTTTCCACCTAAAGTTTGAAAGACAGAAAATGGGAAATTTCATACTTTACTCAGTCCTGAGAACAGGAGACTCATTAGCTGGCAGTTCATCATTTTGGTTAGATTTATTTCAATAGTTTACCAAAATTTAGTCTTGAAGCAAATAGGGTTTTTGTTTTTGTTTTTTGGGGACTGGGGATTGAACCCAGGGCCTTTGCATTGAGGTGCATCCCCAGCACTTTTTACTTTTTCATTTTGAGATAGAGTCTTGCTAAGTTGATAAGTTGCCCGGGCTCGGCTGAAACTTGTGGTCTTTCTGCCTTAGCCTCTTAGAGTGCTTAGATTACAGGCATGTGCCAGCATGCCCAAATTAGTAATTTACTTTTAAACCATAAATCATTACGGAAGAGTAAAGCATCATCTTCAGCAAGTGATAAAAATTTTTTTTACATGCTTTGTTATTTCTAATTTGCCAATTTATAAGGTCAGTAAATAACCCTTCAGCCTTTTGAACTCTTCACTCTGGGAAATCTTTTCTTACTATGAAAAATAGACCTACTGCTTTACTGATTTGGTTACGGTCTCATGGATGCTTATAAAGTTTGCTTATACATACATTTCCTCTTTGAAAATGAAGCTTGTTAAGAGGTGCAAAACATGTCTTACAAATGGCACTACCTTTAAAGGTTAGGAAATTACAGAATACCACATACTAATTTTTTGGCGATATTTTGCTGTTGTAGACCTTAAACACACGAAGTGATAGCAGGCTCCTCCCCAAACACACTCACCTCGTGCGGCAGAAGCGGGCCTGGATCACTGCCCCAGTGTCTCTTCGGGAGGGAGAGGACCTGTCCAGAAAGAACCCCATTGCCAAGGTACCTTCCGAGTTCGAACAGGAGCATGAGATGCACATGATACAACTGTGCTGTTAGAGGATGTTTATGTCCACTTTAAAGGAAAATTATAAAACCGCTGATTTTTTGTAATATTTAAGGTACAATTGAAACTTAGCAGAGCTTTTTAGAAGAAAGTGCCAACTTTAAGATCTTCACTCTTATTCTGGAAGATGCAGCGTCACTGGCAAAAATACATATAACTTTAGGTTTTGATTCCATTCAGAATGAAGGGATCTGGCACTTGCTTGATCTTAGTTTAACACAGAATGTTAGAATAATCAAAAGAGTATGTTATCATTTAAAAGCTTTCAGAATGGAAAGAACTCATGACCAGATGTCCATGTTTGCCCGGGGCAGTTAATTTATGCCGGTCGTCCTGGCTCAGTAACTGAATAGCTCCCCTTTACTCTCAAAAGTCCAGTGTCTTCGTCAGTTACGCAATAGTCCTAGTACTATGTGTCTCTGAGTTGGCGTGCGCAAACCTGAACCTTGATTGGTTTTTGCCCGTAAAGCTGCTCTCCTTAAGTTCTACCCGTTTCTGTAAATAGCATTATCATTCTATTCAGTTTTTCAAACCAAAACGGTAGCAAGTGCCTTTGCTTCTACTCCCGACTGCCCCTTTCCATTCCTCTCCTCTGCCACTGCCATCGTCCTGGTCCTTGTCATGTCTGGCCCACAACCCCAGAACAGCTCCCTCTTGTCTCCCGCATTCAGTCTTTCCCAGCCTGGCCCAGGGCAGTCTGTTCCCCAGAAATTACCGACAGCAGATTTTTAAAAGACAACTAAAGCCTGTTCCCCTTCCTCACCCCCGTACTGAGACCTTTGCAGAGCTCTGCAGTGTGGCAGGAGAGAGAACTTCCTTCTCCCGCTCTGTGAAAGCCCGTGCAACACGTGGCCCTTGACCTCCTCTCCATCCTCGGCGCCTGTCACTTCCCGTCCCCGACTTCACCGCGTCCCCAGACTGACACAGCGCCCTGCAGCCTCCTTCCCTTTGCACTTGCCATTCCCCTGCCCCAAAACTATTGCCACAGATACTCGCGGCATCATCAGGCCTTGGCAGCAGGGCTGGGTGCGTAGGGGACTGGGGCCCCCATCTGCTCTTCCCTGATTCCTTAGTGATGTAGAAAGAAGGATTTCAGGACCCATTAAGGGGTCACAGAAAGAAATTTACCAGTGAAGAATAAGAGATGTGAATAAATTGTTTATAGAGAATAAAGATGGTGATTTCAGAAGACCCAGTAAGTTAGAAACATCATTCATTTGCTCAATCATCCCAAGCAGGGAAGTAGCCTAACTAAATCCTTCCCTGGAAGATACCTTGTTCATACTTTCCAGATGATCAAATGAGTTTATAAAGATGACTTTGACTATTTCCTGCCACAGGTGCTACATTTAAAATAGACCCCATCCTGAAGATGAACACCAGCTCTCTCTCGATTTCACATAACCCGGTCAGGGAAGCGGTATCATTGTCCTTCTTCCACAGGTAGGGAAACTGAGGCACAGGAAGGTTGAGTGGTAACTCAGTATCCCGTCGTCCCTAGTGTGTGCGGTGACAGGATTAGAACCCAGGTGCCCTGGCACCAGCACACACATTGTGCCACCTCCCTTCTACCAGCATCGTGATGACATCCCAAGAACACTATCCATTAAAAGTATTTACATGTAAATGATAAGGGATTTTAACCTATTTGTTGTTTTTAATGCTAGATACATTCTGATATTGCGGAAGAAAGGGGAGTAAAAATTACATACAAATACACTGGAGTAGGGATTACAGAGCCTCCTTTTGGTATATTTGTCTTTAACAAAGACACTGGAGAACTGAATGTTACCAGCATTCTTGATCGGGAAGAAACACCATTTTTTCTGGTAAGAAGAACAATTTTACATTTATCTGTCACTTTTCTTCAGTAGTAGTTATGACTTTTTATACTATAGCAATTCAATTATTTTAACTTAAAATCTTATTTATTATTTATGTTGTGATTTCAGCTAATGGGCTATGCTTTGGATTCAAGAGGAAACAATCTAGAAAAACCACTAGAACTGCGCATTAAGGTTCTTGATATCAATGACAATGAGCCTGTGTTCACGGAGGAAGTCTTTGTTGGGTCTGTTGAAGAATTGAGTGCAGCACGTAAGAAAGAGTCTCTAGTTTTTTATGAATGAATAACCAATGCCATTTTGCCCCATTGTGTAAATCCCATTTGCTTTGTTGAGTATTAATTCGCAGGACAAATAATAATGAACCTATTGCTGTAGGATCAGAGCTGCTTTTCTTTTCTTTTCTTTTTTTAAATTTTAAATATAACTTTTTAATTTGATGCACTTTTTAAACTCCCTGCAGTATAAGATCACTACAGTGGTGCTCAAGTCTGTCAAATACCAATGCTGAGAGGCCAAAGTGAACTGTACTTATCTCTTTTAGAGCTGCTTTTCTTATAATACATTCAAATGACTTCAAAGATCTCTTACCCATCCTATTAAAGATGGTGGGTTGATGGAACACATGTGTCTCCATAGCAACTACCCTTACGGGAGAAAAGCAGTCTCAGACACTGTAAATAAGTGGGTGTGGCTGTGTTCCAGGAGAACTTTGTGTACTAAAACAGGTTCCTGGCTGGCTGTTGCTCACTGGGTGTAAAGACCTCTGACTTACATTACTTCTACTTTTTGTCGACATTATTCAATGCATTGCTCTATAGAGGACTTGAAGTAGAGATTTCTTTTTGATCAAAGTAAGAGTAGCTGTACTTCTCTTGATTTGTCTTTAATTTTAATGGACACTGGGGCCTTGTATCAGCTCATACATATTTCTCGCAGCGAGAACAACTTTATGAGGCTCCTGTAGCAGTTTTGCAGGACCTCACCCTAATCTCAGCCTTTCCCCCATCTCGTATTCTGTCCTCCTGTATTCCATTTACACTTCCTTCTTCATCCAGTTAAATTTTTCATCATGGTAAAATAGTGCGTAATTTTGATAAGTACCTGAACCCCTTTGGGGAGCAGCTGAAATTACAAATCAGATAATAACATATGCAAGTGTACTTACCTCGGACCCCTCTTTTTCTAATGCCAGATACACTTGTGATGAAAATCATTGCAACGGATGCAGATGAGCCCAATACTATGAATTCTAAAATTTCCTACAGAATTGTATCTCAGGAGCCTGCATATCCTCCAGTGTTCTACCTTAATAAAGATACAGGAGAGATTTATACAACCAGCATTGCCTTGGACCGAGAGGTAAATTAATGTTTAATGTCACTCATCTTTTATATTCCTTGCTATCCTTTCTAGTTTTTCCTCTCTCTCTTTATTTCTCTTTTCTAAATTTCTTTTGTTCTGTATTCCTCATTCCTGGGATAACTCTAGGAATTGTCCTCCTTTAAAAAGGATGTGCTGTCCACTGTGGTAGTGGTTGTTTGTATGTGACTGCATCTGAATTCAGATGTGCTGTGTGCATACTGAGCTATTTAAAAGATGCACCAGATCTGAAAGAGTTAGCATAAAGACATAGAATATCATCTTAATTTTTTGTTATCTGTTAAAACAATCATATTGTATATCATGCATTAAATAAAATATACTTGTTTAAAGTTAATATCACTTATTTTCTTTTACTTTTTAGAATGTGGCTATTCGAAAATTTTAAATTACATAAAGACAGTGTCATTTTTGTCCTCCATTTATGTTCTGTTTACTAAGACTCCTAAAGCAGCATTCCTGAGTTTGAGACCATCTGAGGAGACGTCAGGAGTCTCTCCACTGCTAATGCACAGATGGGGGGCAGGGTGGTCTTGGTGGTGATGGTGAGAGGGGGCTGGGCATGGGGACAGGGTACAGGGTTCTAATTCAGGTGTAGAAATCGTCATAGAAGAAAAAATTATTTTAAAACCCATATTAAAAAATTTGGTTGGGTTTCCTGGATCGTTCTCCCAAACATTTCATTTTTTCTAATTCAAAATCTTAAAATAAAATGGGCAATAGAGGAGTTTTTAAAAGCTACATACATGAGTGTGCAAGAATAAAATATTGATTTTAGAATACGGTGTTATGAATACAAATCATCATTCACGTGCATTGTAGCATACTTGGAAAATTCACTTGCTCAGCAGGGAAGGATTGTGGCCAGCATTCCTGTTGGAGTTTCACAAAAGTTAAGCATATGATCTATTACTCCTGCAATTCTACTCTACACATTTTCACATAAAGTTGAAATGGGAACATGTTACTGTGAGTTAGCAGCGTGTGGGAAATGTGCCCAATAATAACGGTTGTCACTTACTGTGCATTTACCACTTGCCATGGGCCATCCTAAGCCCCTTACATGGATTAACGCATTTAATCCACATAGAAACCCTGCGAGCAGATCCAGTTATTATCCCCATCTTAGACATAAGGAAACCAGGGGTCAAAGGGATTACACGTGTGTCCAGCATGGCCAGTGAGTTTCAGAGCCGCCACATTTGAAGCCAGGCATCAGCAGAGCCCAGGACCCCCTCCCTCCTCTGTGCACCGAGAGGCCCTTCAATACCCATGCCCCCCACCAAGTGGCCACTAGGCTCCTAAGACGTCAAGCACCCTGAATAGAGCTATAGTGAAGGACACGCGGAGAAGAAGGGCTCACTTTGGAGTGACATTAGTGCTGGACATCCTAGTGACAGTCATTCTGTGGAACACATTCCCTAAGGGTCCCATCTCTGGGGAAGTCTGGACAAATTACCTTCACTGGCCCGGATTTCTTAGGACTGGGTTTTCTGGTTTAGCGTTTAACTGAGAACACAGTGTGGGGCAGAAAACAAAACAATTCCTGCCATTTCATCCAGCGTAAAACACTACATTTTGAACAGCGCTCTTCTGTGCAGACAGTTAAAGAGAATCATCTCCTGAGAATAGTGCCATTGACAAATTTAAGAATTTGACAATAACTCCCAGAGGTTTTTCTGCCCTTGTACAAAGCTCGAACTGAAAATAAATAGCATCTTTATACCTAAAACAGCAAGTCACAAAAGTTATTTACAGGTAAAATACATTATGGTCCTGTTTGTTTGTTTCTTTGTTTCTTTGTTTCTTTGTTTGTGACAGGGCCTCACTGTGTAGCCCAGGCTGTCCTCGAACTCAAGGTGATCCTCCTGCCTTGGCCTCCTGATTGCTGAGATTACAGGCGTGCTCCACCATGCCTGGCCTTATGGTCCATTTTCTAACAATAAAGCAAACTAAAATTAGAAAGACAAACTTGGGAGAGATTCATTTTAACCCCAGTGGATATGTTTTGTAACTCTCCAGGAACACAGCAGCTATTCTTTGACCGTGGAAGCAAAAGATGACAATGGACAAATAACAGACAAACCAGTACACCAAGCTCAAGTTCAGATTCGCATTTTGGATGTCAATGACAATATACCTGTAGTGGAACGTGAAATGGTAACTTGCTTTTATAATAACTATATGTATTTATTCATATTTAAAATTTGTTTTACATTAAAATAAAAATCCTTGTGTTCATATTTTGCAGTATGAAGGGATGATTGAAGAAAATCAAGTCAATGTAGAAGTTATGCGCATAAAAGTGACAGATGCAGATGAATTAGGCTCTGATAACTGGTTAGCAAATTTTACATTTGCGTCAGGAAATGAAGGGGGTTATTTCCACATAGAAACTGATGCTCAAACTAATGAAGGGATTGTGACCCTTGTTAAGGTAAGTCATGACTGGTCAAGACAGGTGGGATAGGGGACTGGGGATTTAGCTTAGTGGTTCTGCTGCCTGCCTCGAAAGCGCAAGGATCTGAGTTCGATCCCTGGTACCGGGAA